AAAAAAGTAGCAAACCCTTTACGAGAAGTAACCTGATTAAGAAAGGGTAAACAAATGCCAGAATTTCCTACCTTCTTCGACTTTTCTTGTACATTTACAAGATGCAGTTCGGTAAAGGTCAGTCTACTCCGCAGCTCACTTGATACCAGTCCCCTTGCGAGAGCTTCGTTTATTCCTCCGCACCAGTCCCCCTTTCGCTCTCGATTACAACATTATCAATCGAGCTCGATGAAAAGTACGTTCAAGCACGAATCCAGTCGTGCTCGATATAAAAATTCAGTCGAGCTCGAAGAAAAGATCGAGCTCAAATAGCATGGCCCGGATCCCCCCCGGAAAAGAACGGCACCCCTTGCTCAATGAGCTCAGAGGCAACTGAGCTCGAGTTGTGATCTGAGGTTCGTCTGTCTACCGAGCACGATCAGTCGATACCGTCCTAGATTCTTCTCGAGCTCAGTTGCCACAAATCGAACACGACAAACCGAGGTTCATTAGTAATGGAGGTCGATATGGATATCGAGGTCGATTACCATGATTCGACCTCAGTTGCCCAGAAACTAAAATTGATCCCTAACATCCATAATGGTGAAAACATGCACTTTCTTCATTGAGATGATTTACTGGCGTAGGACCTGGATTGAGTTCTATGTCCCCTGAGAGCATAATCTTCTTCTTGGATTCATTATATCTTGTATTTTTGTTTTAGTTACATGCTGTTACAGGAGTAGATTGCTGTATGACTGTGGGATGACTAATGTTTGATATCTGGCATATTTTTTTTTTGGAATTACTTCTATCATTACAATAATTATTATTCGTTCTCTTTCTTCCTATAGCATGACTACTTATGACTTTTCTGTTTGAATGAGCCCAGCATTGTCTACTCAAGTTAATGAAGTATGCAGTGAAAAAGCAATAACGCCTACGAAGAAAATTGACACGAAAGTCTTTGTAGTTTTTACCTACGCTATGTATCTCTGAGGATTTAGGAAAACAATTTTTCATCATATTTCTTGAGTGCTCTGTTGACTTTCTCTTACTTAACAACCCAACCAATCTATTAACTCGCACTCGTGATGGCTCACGATCCCTCTGTTTTTGTCTAAATTGACTTTTCACACGACTCCTAGCACTTAATCTGTTTACTTCATGTATGGCAACTAAATCAGTCTTAGCTGCTTCATGGCAATTTGTGTAGACACCTTCTATTAATTTATTCATAACAGCTTTCACTGGTGTTTCCTCTGAGTTAATGATGCAGTGCTGGTTTGATGTGTCGAAGCACCTACATGTAAGATCAGTAGCATTTTGAAATTCGTGGTTGCTACGTGGCTTCGAAGCAGGGTTTTCAGTACAGACATCAGCATGATAATTGCTACCACCATCACCAATTTCATCAGTCGCCCCCCACATCAAGAAACGGGTCTCAACCGTGGGCTGATTCATGTCCAAAAGCCACACAGTCCATGGAAAGCGGCTTTCAATTCTCCTCTTACGAGGCGCAAACATCCTCTTGCGAGGCTCAAATATCATCTCATGAGGCTCAAATATCCTTTTATGAGGCTCGCTTCTCTTTAAATTAACTTTTTTAAGCGTCGCTTTGTTGGTCCTATTTCGAAGAAACAACAATGATGAAATTGGGAGTGATCGAGCGAAGTACAACTTATTACTATCATGAAACCAATGGACCGCCCACAAAGCGTTATCAATTCGTCGAATACTGCTATCCAAAACTGGAAAAATGCTCGGCGCAGTTCTCAGTGAAAGCATCATTGAATGTTGTGATAAAAGCCACGGAACGCCTTTCGACCCATCATGAAAGCAGTAGAGCGGCCATGAAGTTTTATCGAATCGTGGAGACCTGCAACCCAAAACTGGAAAAAAGCTTCTTATACTCCGCATAGTTCTAAGTGAAAACATCGATGAATGCTGTGATTAAAGTAAGTATTACGCAAATAAAATCACAACTAAAACTTACCTGGATTGAGCCACTTTCAAGTCCACAACTTGCAAAACCATGTACGCCCAAAACGATAAGGAAAACAACCACAAACGTTGTAAAACGCTTCGCAACTTGCAAAACCATGTACGCCCAAAACGACATAAACAACAACCGCAAACGTTCTAAAACGTTTCCACCCTATGAATTGTGGGGGCGAGATTGAACGTTTCTACGCATGTACATGATGACGCGTAATGAAATGTGTAGTNAAACGTTCTAAAACGTTTCCACCCTATGAATTGTGGGGGCGAGATTGAACGTTTCTACGCATGTACATGATGACGCGTAATGAAATGTGTAGTATTCAGGGAATGTTCACGGACTCACGCGCATGACGGCAAAGAGTCCACGATGCTCAAAGCACCGTAGACTCAAAAATTGGGTCGAGTAGCAGCTCTCGTAAGGTCTCACATTAATGACTTGATACCCTTTGAGACAACAGAAACAATGCCCCTAGCCCCAAAACAGTAACTTGTGTTAAATAGCAAAAGAATTGCAAGCTGACGAGAGCTGTTGCAGTTCTATAAGAATTCATCATTTATGAATAAAGAGGAGGTGGCAGCTGTTTTAGCAAATGCTAATGATTCCTTTGAACAAACAGGGAAAATTCTCTTGGACAATAGTTTGTTGAGGTCACACAGAAGAAGGGCTGTATAACGCCTATTTTAAATAAGTTTCACATTTTCCAGGCGGTGATTGGCCGCAATATAATGCTCAGAAATGGGGATACCACGGCGATACCCGCCACTGACAAATCATAAGTTTGAACTTAAACGAAAGTGAATTCCTTCCATGCTTCAGTTGCAAAAACAATTCACCGTTTCAACAGGAAATATGACGTGACAGACCTGATGCCATTTTTAATCTGACTGTTTTTAATCAAGTAGTAAATCATGGTTAATAAGTTACATCTCGAAGAAAGCATTTTTCATGTGTGCACGGCTTACTATTTCCTCTGATATGGTTTTAAATATATAAAGTTGTAAATTATCTGGAGGTTTTCTGCCATTCGGAGATGAGATTTGAACATTCGAAAAGCAGTGCCGGCGATATATTCTACGATCAACGATATATACTTGCATCGATTTACTGAATCAAAAAACTCACCGAACAAAAAATGGGCGCAAGAAAACACCAGCACCAGCCGATCCATGGATTGATTCGAAATCCCAGCATGCTTTCAAAGTTGTCATAGAAACGACGACGTCCTGTTAACAGTCATAAGAAATTTGTAGAGAGTATTTATGATCAAGCAAGCTACATGATGAAGCTACCTAAGATAGGTCTGGTTAGGTCTGAAAATGTACATGGAAAATGGCGTACTTTGGCCTAAAATAAGCTAAGTTAAAAGCATGGAGAGCCGGGTGGTACACACCCACCATAATGTCCAGTCGCACAACACTTCACCTCTCCTTTCCGGGAACTCAGCACGCTATTGATATGTAACATGGAAACTGTAACATAATCTGATAAAGAAACCTATAAATAACGGTTTTTATGGTCGCAAAACATGACAAAAAATTACTGAAAGGACACATGAACGCGTTAGAAAATTCATTGAAGCGAATTGCAACACCAGCCACAGGAACCAAGGAAATTGGGAATCTGGGTACATGTATGAGTTGGGAAATTTGGTTAGGAACCAGATATGAATCATACGTTAAAAAATAACTGATGATTCAGATTGGGACACAGGGATTGAGGATTTATTGTCGAAATTTAATATTCTCGAAGGCATAGTGTTTCTGTAATTGACGTCCGTTATATACTTATAAGCTATTTTTCTCACCATAAAACCATCCTATGGCAACACATTCGCAGATGACCACCAACAACAGAACTGATCCGCTGCCAGAGTATGCGTCAAACAATTGGAACACGTACATACCACCCTATAAAGAATATAAACAGTGTATTTTACAATGGTTGTCAAGCACGGTTTTCACTTAATAATCCCAAGAACTTTGTGATTAATGTTATACAAGTTTGGTTGCATGTCTCGTTGCTGCTCCCTTAGTTTGCTTAACTATTTGTTGTTTGTTTTTCGTTTGCTAAACTGCTTCTTCTTTTTTCTCCTGTCTGTATGTCTGATCGTGTGTCGAGAGCTATCCAAGTGATAGACAGGCTGATAAACCAGGGCTCTTAATACCAAAGTACATAAGAAGCTGGTCAATTGCTCAGATGTCCCAGCGGCAGGAATAAAGATGTTGAGATAGAGGATAAACTGAAACCAAGTCCGATCCATTGTACATACAAACCATGGACCGCATCTTTACCTCAGTAACCATGGACAACCCGAGTAGAAACCAGATGCAACAGATAAAGGCGGTAAACATTTCCTTGCGATGGCCACGCCTCAGATATTGCGGAAACAAATCAACAACGCCCGTCACGACGCCCTCGATGCCTACAAACTTGATGCAAAAAAAAAAATGAAAATCATTATCACCGAATACAAGAAACAGCGTCGTCAAGATACTACAATTTATTTTTCTTGTGTCATGTCTCTCTCGTCCATTAGCTGGCAATTGGACAAAATTTCAACTCCTGGCAGACACTGATAGAAAAGACGCATCTTTTGTTTTCGTTTTTCTTTTATTTGATAGCTGAGATATGATATCTGCAAACTTAACTGATAGCTAAAAACAAAACGCTGAAATTTTTTAACTAATTACTGAGATTCCAGCGCTCCCATCCCGACGGTCAATCGATAAACACAAGTCTTAGGTGTTAATCTCACCGAAATCAAAACAATTTTTTCTTGCCTTGTGTAGACTCTCATTCTTTTTCTTAAGGTTAACATCCCGAAGGATATTACTGAATTATTTTCAGCCTAAAGGCTATATTTCGAAGTATACATTTACATCTGAAAACGGATACAGTATTTCTCGTCCACACGAGTCCGACGATCCGTATTGTTTGCACTGTACTCGACAACACGAGAACGATAAACGGATATAGGTTAAGTAAATCACTCAAACCAGAACTTAAGGATACGAGATGGACACCGAGCGTTCGTTTATGGCTTGATGCAGTCCATTCAAGAATACGAACGCGTATTGGAAGGTAGTCTTTCATGGGCAACAACTTACACGTGTGGAACAAGCTCAATGAGAAATAAATTCTTTGATTTTCAGATAGGCAATAGTATGTCCTGATATTATCATACTCCTAACCGACTATTTCTCGTCACTTTTTTTCAGGGAATCTTGAAATATAGTGGTAACTAAAGATGACGATTTTCTTCATTATTTTTTCCTCCTGCGGGTTAAATTGAGAAAGGAGTTATCCCATTATTTAGCTTTGTTAATTTACCTCACTGTCAAGACCAAGCAAGATTAACATGAAGAAAAACAAAGCAGACCATAACGGAGCTAAAGGCATCTGAGCAACCGCTTCTGGATAAACGATGAAGGCAAGTCCTGGACCTGTAAGAGAATTATCAATCGACAGACAAACAAGGGACACCTTAGGTAAGGAAAAAAACTTAAACCGCTTTCCTGAGTAGCAAAGATTTGAGAAAATATTAAAATTCTTCTGAGTCTGATCACGGACTCCTCAGTCGTCTTGCGCGTCTGACCCTGTCCAAACTGTTTTATGACCACGTACCAGACTATAAGGTCCCAGGTGCGATAAGGCCCTACCGTAAACTGACACCCTTGTCTTAAAAGGGTTCCTCTTTAGTTGCTCCCCCCCCCCCCCCCCCCCCCCCCCTCCTTAATAGAGCAGCCAAAAATGGAATGAAATGTGAACTATCGCCCATAGGAGA